TGAGTACACCTATATAGTTTTTTTTCTATTCTGATCGTTTATGTGAAATACTCATAAGTCTATATTCTATTCAACATGGTCGTATGACATCCATTTTATTTAGATATAAAATTAAATAACAAAAAGTCCAGAGGTGCATAATGAAAATTTGAGACAAAAATAAGGTGAACTGCAACTATCATTTACTCTTTACATTCTTTTTACACAAATCGTAGAGCTCGAGAAATCTTCATCGCTAGAAAAGAAAGCGAAGTGTTTCTTAACAATCTACAAGAAATTGTAGAGCTGCATGATGATTAATTTCGTATAACGAGCAATCATTTCTGTTCTACAATTTTTTTAACAACAAACTTTCATTTTTTTTTTTAATTTTATTTTTTATTCTGAGTTTAAAAAGCTTAAAGTTTATCTTTATGAAACCAAAACAGAGAAATAATTAACTTTCTCAATGAACAATGAAGATTTCTTTATCTCTATTTCATAAAGTAAGAGTGCACTACAACACAGATTGAGTGCAGTAAAATATATGAAAAAAAATATTCTGTGATACAGACAAGTCTCATTACAAATAAACATAGTGTTAATTACTCCACAAAAACAGTCTAATAAACATCTTTAATTTCATAACCATCTGTACCCAGGTCAAATGATTCTACTATAGATCTTTTATGATTCTAATATGATTTTTGCAGTTTCCCATAATGTTGCATACCTTGTGTTATGCTCCTATTATCTTGTTTTCTTAAGAAATTCTTTTACCATCACTCGCATATATACATATATTTATAAAAATTTTAAAAAAAAGCTAAATGAAAACAAATACACGCTTAAAAATCATTAAACATATTATTTTTATTCAATTCCATCATTTAAATGATCTATAATAAGAAAATAAACAATTTAAACAAAAGAAAACCCACTTCTATTCAATTAAGTTATCTGTAGAATTATATTTTTAGCAGATCGTTACCAGTACATAGAACATTTGTTTTCAATACTAAAAAGTAGCATCTAAATTAGAACGTGTTTAATCGCTTAAATATTTATATAAATGCACAAAACTATCATTGTCAAAATTATTTATATAATTAAGATCTAGCAAGATTCACAATAGCATTTTATAGTCAGATAAATATTAAATCTTACGATATCTGAGTGTCATTGAGATTTTATACGATCTTCTTACAATTTTTCCACCTGAGTAGTCTTTTAGTAATTTATAACAAAGTCACAAAAAAATATAATTATTGGTCTATAAGATTATCAGGATATCTTCATGGTTTTAAATCACAATTGACTTGTAACAAGAATTGTTAGTTCTTTTAGTTTAATAACATTTAACAGTTTAATTTGAAAACCTGTATGTTAATATAGGACTTGTTATCTAAATTTAGAATATTAAATTTAAATGAATTTCTATTAACACATGTAAATGAATATTCGATCTCAGCTGACAAGTCAACAATTTAAAATGAAAAATTATTGTTCTTTTGTTTTTCTTAAGGTTATCATTCAATAAAATCATATAAATGGCTTATCAGCAAAGAATAGACGATGAGAACTAGATAAATTGTTTGTTAAAATAGTTTGTTTCTGTTATCCTTTAAATTGTGTCATTTTTCTTTATTATATAATTTCAATCTATTTATGTATATACAAGACATATGAGTCAATCTATAGAAAAAAACTCTTATGAGTACTCGTCAGAGTTCAAGAACAGTATTTATAAACATAAAATTGCTCAAGTACTCACGCGAGCAATTTCAGTGTTTATGTTGGTAAGTCATACTCGCTTGATGATTATTGCCATTAGTGTAACGATGAAGGTTAGGCTTGTCTAATATTTTGTCCTTATCGTGTGTTTTGTCCTTAGGATGCACTTTATCCTTACTCTAAGTTTTGTTCTTATCCTCTGGTATTATATTTCACATCATTATATTGTGATATTTGCTTAGTTTTGATGCCTGCGTATATAAAGTGTAGAAACATTTGTATGCCGGTGCGATTGATGATATGAAGAAGCTGAATAAAGTGTAATTCCATCTTCACTAACCCTTCTTCTATCTAAAAATTGTCACATTGAGAGCCCGTCAGCTCTAAAATTTTCGAATGCAGACTAGGTCGAATTAAACTTGAATACTCTCACTGAATATTTCTAATGGAAATTGAATAGTCACCTTGAAGATAAGAAACACTTTTTCTCCGGTTTTCTTTTGTATTCGATGACTAATGCACATATTGCACTTCTCAGACGACTATAGCCGTCGGGTCTAAAGTGTTCAGAGTCGATTAATAGGAAACATTCACACCTGAACGCATTCAGGACCAATCTGATGGACTCTCATTTTTCCTAGGATAATACTGCTTAGAACAAATATGACATCAACACCATTTGTATTCATTTTTCGTTGAAGTTTCATACTGATATAGATGTTACTTTTAAAATCTAATTTACTAATGCATCAATTCACTCATAGACTGACTTTTTTAATGGCATATATTATCAAAAGAATAAAAGTGTTCTGTTCTAAATATATAAAACCAAAATCGAAATAATTGATTCTTACATTATTAAATCTAATTGGCATTTTTTATCATTCTAATTGATTGAATATTCAATGAAAATGATACATATTTATTTAGAAATATTTTTTTGATAAACTATTTAACAAGATAGAAAATCTATTTCATCAATACTGAGTCTAGAAAGAAAGTTAAAAGAACACATGTCTCTTTCTCTAATTAATGTGGTATAATTAATCATATGTCTGAAATACCTTTTTTTTTTATTTGTTAATATATTGTGTGATTATTACAATGTTAATCCTTGTTCTGCATAGAATACGTCATTGAATTTGATTAAACGCAAATGAAATTCATTGTTAAATTTGAGACCAATTAATTTGGAATTAACTAAAGTCTAAACACGCAAATTAATAATTTATATTACGGCGTAAATTCTAGAATTTTCTTCGAGAGTTCAATATCGAAATTTTTATTGTAAATATACTTATGAAATGTTCCATAATTTTTCTGTTTTTTCATCATACTTTTTATTCATTGATTTATTTCAAATGATAGATCGACAGATGCTGATGACTGATCCTCAGCGGTCGAAAGAGTCAATCAAAAGAAAAAACTGTTTCTATTTCTGTTTTACTTTTTTTCTTTTCACTTGTTTTCATCTTATGTTCATAATATAGATTTCTTTCTTTATTTTACTTAAGAAAGAAGAAAAGAAACAAGCTTCTAATAGCATAGAATGTTCGACGTTCATTGTTGTCAACATTTTTATATACTTTATAAAAAAAAAGAAAAGAAAGTGAGAGAGACACAGAGAGAGAGAGAAGGTCCAAAAAAATAAAATCATCATTTTTCCGATGATTGACGATTATCGAAATAGAGAGAGAGAAAGAGAGAAAATAATTGCTTTTTGTTTAAGTTTCCGTCTCCATTTTAAAACTCTATCTATAAACAACAAAGGTTCATACCTAGTCGATTTGCGCCGATAGAGACATTATCTTACATAAAGATTTTATTCTTGTCGTTACCTACACAATCAATTAAGTGCATTTCTACTAAATTTTTCTTTTCTATTGTGATACATTAACAGATGCTCAATGTAACTATAAAGCTTTATATTTATTTAAGATTATCTAATAAATTAGTAAGATATTCTTCATCAATAATTATGGTCAGACGCATTGAAGGTACAATTGATTATGAAAAACATAATGAAGTTCTCAATGATAATCATAAAGTTCTTATTTATCTTGATGATATGACATTAACTGGTGAGTAAGAAAAGAACAATAATTTTTCAAATATATAAATAAACATGCTTTTCATATAGACATTGCTTCCCAAGATGGTTCCTATATACGAAAATTTCATACAATTGCAAAATTAATTTTAGAAAATCAAGTCCGAACATTTCCTATTACGTTTTCACTGGAATATGATGAAAAAGATGTAGAGAAAACATCAAATTATTCATTACGTGTACGTATCGTAGCTGATGGCAAAACACGATTTATAACGAGCTCTAGTGTTCCTGTGCTTACAAAAGGTTATGGTGATATGGTTGATATAATGGTGGAAAAAATTGATTTAATGTAATGAAAAAAAAAATGAACAACATACTTTTTCTTTTCTTTTTCGAAACGTTTAAGTTTTTTCTCTTTGTCTGTGTGTTGCGTAAAAATAATTAATCAAAAAAAAACATGATAATTGTATGTAACATTCATAAAATAAAAATCTAAATAAAAAGATAAATTTCTTGTTTTTTTCAAATTGAATATTATATAAAATTTTCCTTTTTAAAAAACAGATATCTTACTGGATATGAGCATTGACCCATTAGAATTCAACAGCTTAAAATAAATACACCAAAGTATTTATTCGAGTAATTTGTCTTCGATATTTTTCTATTAGCATGAACTACTTATCAAAACCTCACTGTGATGTTAATCAAATTACAAAAAAAAACCTTTGACATGCAAAAAATACACTTGATGAGTCGTTGACACTCCGGGAAATACGATCAATATTTATCGTCTATTCATCTATGCACGACAACAAGACAAACTATCCATATTGTGACCTAGGTTATAAGCTGTGCATAACATATAAAAGTAAAATAAATTCATTTTTTATCAATAAAAATATTCATCGAAAATGAAAAAAATATCATCGAATAGATTTCAAGGTATTATTTGACTATATGAAGCAAAACTTTTTAGTTTGAGTCTGATAGTCACGTTGAAGATGGGACATGCTTTTTCTGATCGATTATTTATATTCTGGCACTAAAACATCTTACTGATTTTCTAGACCAACCTGATGGTGATCTTATAATTATCTAATAATGATTTCAATTGTTTTCTATACACCGGGTGTCCTGAGTCGGAGATGAAAGGGAAAGAGTGACTTCTTCCAATCTTGAAAAATTTTCATTTTTCTTCAGCAAAGCTTCTGCGTTTTATTGGTTTTTGTTGACCAGTTCCAAAAAAACGTGCATGGTATCGATATTTAACAAGATAAACAAAATCATTCATTCAAAAAAAAAAACAGCTAGCTATTAATTTTGTTTTGATCACGTTTTCATAGAAACCAAGAGTCTCCTACACAAAGAGAATTTCTATCAGCAAACATTATATTATATAAAAAATAAAAATATCGTTAACTTATGATAATAACAATAAATCATTGCATTTTAATTGTGGGTGATTTTTAACATATCATTTTAATAAATCGTCAAATGTGAGTCAAGTTTATCTTGCTTTTATTGTTAATATTTAACCAACAATGTATTATACATATGGCAAGATTAGCACAAAAAAAAAATTTTAATTAAATTAAAAACAAAATTATTGACACGGATTTCACTATATGTTTATTGTAATAACAACAATAGTTACGTTCGTAATACTCCAAATATTACTCTAGCTGTATTATAAACAAACAATTGAACCGCACTCAATGTACCACTTATAAAAATTTGCAAACCAAGTCTTTTCCACAGGACTAGATAAGAACATACAATTTTGATTACAGAGAAAAAAAAACTAAATTTAATTTACCAGAAAATCCAACACGTTGTATAGCATCGATACACTAAGACCTTTTCATTATGCAATTCTGATGCGATTGTATCAGCTGGATAACTAACAATAGCACAAAATATACCAGCTATATAACCAGCAATAAATGTTATACTAAGATCTTTAGCCTTTGTATGTTGTTCACGTGGTTTACGTATTATATATTTATTCAGTACTTCAGTCGTACATTCCAAACATGCAAAGTTCACTATTGTATATGGAATTTGTCAAAACCATAATGGTACAAGATCTTTATAAAAGCTAAATAAAATCATCATGTCTTTCATTAATTAAAAATGAATTAAATATTTATCTTACCCCCGTATTCTTTCTTCATCTAACAAAGAAAAAGAAATAATAGCATTAAGACAAGATAGAATTAAATTTTTACCGTAAAATTTCGGTAAACTTTGTCTTAAAGTTGATGCCGAATTATCTTGTGTTTGAACTCGTACTTTTATTGCTTGCCATGGCGCTAAGGCAATATCAGCAAATAGTTCTGGTGAAGCACGTGCTAATAGATAAATTATTGTTCGATGGACATGAGCATTTTCTTTGCCAAATATTTCACCATAAAAAGTTTTAAAGATTCCATAAAAAGCAAATTTTTCAAAACCTTGTAATGAATAACCAATTAAAGTTGATGCTAAACCTTTAGTTAACCCAAATATACCTTTGTCTCTAAATGAATTAATGTATAATAAATTTTCTATTTGTTTTCTTTTTTGTCATTTTAAATATACGCCATGGTCACTGGAAAACCGTGAATGAAATTTTTATATTTTTCAGATTTCACTTGTAATCGATATTTTATGAGATCTTATAGTTATAGAAAATACTTCTATAAGTTCGAAAAGTATACATACCAACCAACAATCTTTTTTTTTACCACAGAAGAATAATTATTAATAAAGAGTTTTTCTTCACGTTAGATAAACACAACATACCAGTAGAACAACAGCGGCATGCGTTATAGCACTACTAAACATACCACTAATACCACAATAAATGTAATATTCAACTGAATCATATTCACAACTATAATATTTTATACAATAAAGAGTAAGTTATATTAACATGCTTAATTAATTGTTATACATATGTTTGCTTCTTATATGGCATGATGATAGAAATCGTCTATAATAATCTAGTTTAACAAAAGATCGTACTATCATTCTCTATAATAAGTACAATAACATCTATGAAAATATTCATTCAATGGTAATAAAAATTTACCAAAAATTTGTTAGGAATGATTGTCAGACAGTGCATAAGTGTCAGAATAGAAATAAGAAATCTATTTTCAATTAATTTTTGCATCTTCATTGTTAACGAATGTGTTCGTATTATTTGTGTATTCATATGTAAAGGATGCATTTCGTGATGAAAATAATTCTATGAATAGAAATAACTTTTGAAAAAGTTTTCGAAAAAAATGTAAAGAAAATTTTATTATATAAAATATTGTAATTTGAAGAAATATTCTCACTGTTTATTATTTATTAGAAGATTTCGCTTAATTAACATAAGAAATATATTTTATCATAAAAGAAATTTTTTCTATGATTGTCTATTTTTATTGAAATAACACGTATATAATAATGTCTTCTTTTTCTTTACTCAAGGTTACACTTTGTTTTTTTTTTCGTTTCTTTTCATAGGAGCACTTGTTTTTTATTTCTCATGATTGTTACTCATTTTTCATAAGCAAAACTAATTAAAGAAAATATAATATATTGAAATAACAATCACAAAAGTTCTCTAATTAAAAATCTGTTAAAAGAAAAACTCTATTTACAATTTATTGTTTATTCAGAATATCGCAAGACTACATACGCAAACAATGTTGATATATGATGGACCAAAACAAAAAAAAAGGAACCACGCTTGATTCAAACCATTAAATGCAAAGGAAGACAAGTTTTTGTCCTGATATTTTTTAAAAAACCATCCAAATGACATATTTTCCGTCCAAAAGAAAGTTGAATTAATTGCATGTCCTTATCAGAGATGGGCAGCTCCGACCCTTTCTATCTCCAGCTCCAGTCAATAACAGACCGCTCCTCTCCGACTCCGCTCAAGATTAATAAATATTCTGCCGACTCCGCTCTAGCTCCGCTCCTCGCCGAAAGTATCCGCTCCGACTCCGCTCCGACTCCGTTTCGACTCCGCTCCTGCAACAAATTTTTTTAATTATGCTTTATGATTAGCTGTGTTCAGTGAATTTCTCGTGTTAGTCTAAATATAGAAGCATATATATAAAGTACAAAAAAAGAACACATTGATTAACAATATATTTAACTTAGTTATAATATAATACGAAGAACGTTTACTTTTCAAGAACGGTACTCGCTTTTTTTTCATTATATGATGACACTGAATCGTTATTGCCGACGATAGTAACGGAAGATGATTCATCGATATCATGATCGCGCATTTTTTGCCATGATAATCGTGTTCGTTGAAGTGACACCTAGCTGAGAAATGTTATTCTGATTCGGCACTATTCGCCTTTCACATTTTATATTATGCAATTTCTCTCTTTCTCGACGTCATTTTCTTCGATTTCCAAAGTAACTATAGCTTAGTTCAATTAGACAAAGAAGAAGACTGTATATAAACGGTCAGTCATTGTTTCAGAGATTGCCATTGACTAAAATGTCACAATGGGCTATCCATTTCGATAATTCGCCGATGATGAGCTTTCTCTCATTAATTCTTCCGTCATTTTGTATAGAACAATAAATCGAAAACTGAGCTTATCATTGGAGCTATAAATAAAATGTCGCTCCGACTCCGCTCCAGCTCCATTTTATTTAGGAAGCGCTCCGCTCCGACTCCAGTATTAGTGGAAAAAAACTTGCTCCAACTTCGCTCTAGCTCCACCGTTCTGATGAATCGCTCCGCTCCGCTCTCGCTCCTGGAGCGGAGCTAGCTCCATGGAGCGACCGCTCCGGAGTCGGAGCTGCCCATCTCTGGTCCTTATGATTTATTGTCTAGTTTAAATATTAATGAAAACAATATAAATAAAACTAATCAAATATAATTATCTTTAATTAAACTCAGAATCCATAATTTACATGAGTCCAATCATTTTTCTTTTTTCAATGAATTGCGCTATGCCTTATTTTCCATATAAAAAAAATGCGTAGAAAGTATGTAGGTGCATCAGATAATTTGAGACAATTGGAATATGAAGTGATTGCCAGTTAAAGTTTTATGTGATATAATCAAACAAAGAGAAAGTAAAAACACACTTAGCGTCACTTGTTTCAACTGACTCTACTGTTAGATTAAATCTTCAATAAGAGAATGATTTCATAGATTGTATAATGATTTTCATAGACTCGGTAGACAATATTTAGGCTCTACTTGTACGTTGTCGTGTTACTGAAGAGAAAAACATATTTAGAAACACTAAAACTCGTAGAATGATTCTATTTATTTTAATGCAAAGCGGGTATAAAGAAATGATTGATTAGCATCAAAAAAGAAAGACTAATTCAAAACAATCATTCTTAATACATTATATGCTAGCATGATGATTAATTGAGAATGAATTTCGAACGAAATAAATACATTATTTCATCTGAAGGTGATGTACTGTATTCTATATTTCGTGTATGGAACGAAGAAGCTGAAGAACCAATTGAAAACCGACTTTGGCAAAGTATGAATATTATCAAAAAGAAGTTCGTGTTTTACGCAGTGCATTCGTTTGAGAATTATACAAGATGCACTGAAATATGATATTGATGAGTAAACTCTTAAAAGAAAGCGTCTTCTCCAATTGTTTAACTTCTTGTTCTCTTCCGATATTAGTTGCATTTATATGCAAACCATACATTATTGATGCCATGCGTTTATGTATTATATATAGACAAAATAATATATTTACGCATTGATTATTGTTGTTAAATTGTACAAAAGAATCAAAAAGCAAAGTATTTGTTCGATTGATAGATGTATATTCCATCAGTTTATCCAATGAAAAATCGTTATAAAACTCATCAACAACAATATGCGTTAATTGATCTTGATCATAATGAGGATATGTTTTCAAATCAATGTGGTATCAAAAATAAGCAAGATGATGAAGAAGATACTGATATGCTAAGTATTCAATGACTATCACCATTCGCATCAGATCCATTAACGAATGATGTTGTTCAAATAATTTCAATGCCAAAAGGCAACAATGTATTTTGTGAAAACACCAAAGAAAAAGAATTCCTATCAGTCAAATTCTTCGAATCAACCATGATCTCTGCTTTTCCTTAAGTTCTCGCCAAGACCAATGTCGCCACGTTGGACATTGTCGAGCGGGTTTAAAATCTAGTTCTATCCCACGGTCGAGTCTGAATGAATACGTTCTGACGTAAATCCAATTATTTTAACCGTTTATCGTTCATTTATGTTCGATTATTGAATTTCTTGGATTCCAAATAAGTATACATTATCAAAAACAATGAAATACGACTGATCGAATCTATTGTATGCGAACTGATCCAGTAATATGCGATGACAGGATATCATAGAAATTCTTCGTACCAAACGATACTTGAAACACTTTTGGTTCCTAGCATCAGAGTATAGCGACTGATATAAGAAACGAGCAGTTCTACTCATTCAGATTTTGTCTTTTTTGACAACGTGGATCGGAACGAAATCAGTTACATACAATGATATGAAACAAACAGAAAACTGTTCAAGTAATTGAGTTTTTGATGGTAAGCGTGTGGTTGAAGTAGTCACAATTCTTAATTAAAATTCTCAATATGTTCCACTAGATATGTTCATTAAGCACTCATTCAGTCCACTTTTTTAAATTTTTTCAGACAATTTATTTAATTCAATTTCAGACAAACAAAAGGATTCAAAGATGGATGTCAAATACTTAAATTTCTTTATCAAATATCAAGCAGTGCCTACTCTGTTGCATTGACTTCGACTCCTTAAATACAGTTATTCTTCGGTGAAAGTTTTAAAATTTTATTCACAATGCTTGTGATTCACATGAACAACGACTAAAACAAGAAAAAACATGCGAAAAGCGATACTCAGTACGGATTCGGTTGATTATACGACGGTCCTGATGCGGATTTTCAGTCTTCATTGATTTGTACTTGTCGACGATGCGTAAGCCTTTACTAAGGTACCGAGTTTCAAGGTTATATTGCTCTGAAATCGAGTCTAACGAAGGATCCACATCAGTTGATGATTCAATTATACAAGCCAAAAGATGAAATATTTCTAGGCTACCATTAATTTAATTTTGTTTCGTTTCTTCATGCTTACAATTACGACCATTTTTACGTTTCATAGCAGTTTTCGAAGATTGACATAATGAAGACGATGAATCATCAGTAGTACCATGATCAGTAATAGATGTGACGTTTGATTTTTTTAGGTTAGGCAACTCTTTAGAATCAGAAATTCATCTGTAACTGTTTTTTTCGGATGCTTGTTGTTTATCCAGATATGTTTTCAATGGTGTCTTTGTGATTTTATCTAAAGAATAATGTGATTAGCTAATGTAGTTGTATGCCAGTTTTCGAATTTTAGCATAGTATTTCAAACTAATTTGTTTATAGTGTGACTTTTTTCTAGACAACGATTTCGAAGATATTGTAGGATGAATCTTCGGCGAAAGTAAAATGACCACGTTTGATAATTCTAACGCGAGTTTACCATCATCAGAATGACTTTTGGGCGTTGATTGTTTAGATAACGGTTTTGCATTGTCAC